GCCTCGGCCTGGTCGATTATCTTCCAATTAAAATCCGGCTTACCTTTATCACTACCACACTAACTTATTTCCTTTCCAAATGTAATATCCTTTTTTCGGTGTTCCCCAATCCTTGTGGTGAGATGTTGGAGCGTTTGGCCAACATAGATGGATTTGCACCCACAACGCTCTATTTTGAACACTACTTTTGAGTTCAGTTCACTGGAAAAGGTTGATTTTAAAGAGAGCATACAAACTTTCATTTTCCTCGTCGTTAAAATTATCTGCGCATTGGTGATATCGCGCAGCACTTTTTTCGCTAATGTCTGACTGTGACTCCCCCTATTTCGGACCATCAAGATGGGTGGTGAACCGCTACTATAATCACAGGGCTTCCCTTTCTTAGCCATCTTATTTTTGTTTTGCCCTTTGTGATTATTTTTTCAAGAACTTGCGATGCAACACGCGACGACCAATTTTTTGGATTCTGCTTATTCAACCACTGTTTACAAATGAGTCCCATCGCTTTATCAAATTATCCCCATAGGGACGTTTTAAGGAAAAGACGGTGAACAATTCCTTCGATCACACTTTTCTGTACTGAAGGGGGCACAACTTCCAAATTTTAATGGTTTCTGATAGTTCCAACTCGTCGCGGTCTCTGCTAACTCTGCAATTTGTTGTCGTTTTTCAATCACAATTCTCGTAATTATCGCTATCGCAACTATTGTTGTTCTGATTTTATTCTGGTTTTCTTCCAAAATGGCCGTTTTTGACGCTTCTCAGAATTATTACGTCATCACTTCGAATTTTTAAAATTTCAAAATACCAGAATATCTCGACCTTCACCGTTTGACTAATCGTCCCAATAACGTTGTTAATCTCTTAAAACCGTCAATTCGGAAGGTTAGCTGCTAAAATTTCGAATCCATCCAATCTGCAGTTTTGTCCATTCTGGTCGAACGTCACATACTCCTCGGACAGCCCGGTCAATGTTCGTAAAACTGGTACAGTGTCATCGAACAGAATTTACAAAATGCACGAAATTACTTTTATCCGCGTTATATCGACTCACTGCAGAATATAAATGGCATCATAGTACACTACTATAGCCTTCTAAATTTATTCACTAATATGCACTTTGAGGATATGACTTAAGATAAAACATTTTTTCTGACTTCCAACGTCAGTGCCCTGATTTAAAACTTTTTCTCCTAGGTTTTAAAAAGTGTTAGTTTGCAGGACAGTCCTGCCAACCAACAAGCTAAAATTATCCTACTTTGCTTCTTCCCTTCACTCAGGAAAGGGTTGTACGCTATCCCTATGACTCCGGACACGTAACAGTATGACTTCTTTCTGATTGGTCCACAGTATTCATTGGATTTCGGCAGTGCTCCCATGGATTCCTTAGTGAGCCTCAGTTCTTTGTTCGAGAATCTACTGATTTTGTCTATTTTCCTCATAGGTTCTAGCTCCTCGGGTTCTTTCATGTTCACCCTCATCGGCTTGCTTTGATGCATATCCAGCAGTGCTAGCAAGAGTAAGGCTTTTACTCGTTCATCGCCCTCCCTCAGCATCTTGGCACAGGTGTTCAATGCTGGCACTGAAATCTGCTCTATCAGGAATCGAATGAAACAGAGAGCGTACTCCGCTTCGCGCACGCTACTGCTGCTCCCTCTTGTGTTATCAGATCCCTCAAGTTCGTCATCAGGAATACCTTCTCTTCTTTTGACCTTTTCCTTTCTTCTGAGTCATATTCCCCGCGAGTCAATCCCATCATGAACCAGGCGAACCTCAGTTGTAATTCGGTTCTCACGTAAGGTACTGCCATGAGAGCGTGTATTCTCGGCGTAGTCCTCATTTCCTCTTCAAAGTACCTCAAAACCACTGCTTTCCATGGAAGGCTCACTAATTGCTCAATCGTTTCCGCCTGCATCTCAGAGGACGCTAGAGTCCCGTAAGCCTTCTGCTTGAGGGCGGTGCCTTGCAACATTGTCTCCAGATACCCTTCCATGGCACTCTTGTCTTCCAGAGCCATCACATATCCTCTAGCCGAGTTTCGGTACTCCAACATCTCCATGTATCACCGGCGGGTTCATCTTTTGACACAGTCTCCGACACTGTCAGTCGGTTATACTCCACTGGTACTAGTTGTCCTGCGACACTTCCCTTTCCGTGGTTCATGGGAGACGGTTTAAAGTCTTTCATGGTACTTATTCCACATTGGCTGAGTATCTCCATTTCCAAGGTTGCTCCAGTCAGAGTGCGGTCGCTCCTTTTGGATTTACAACCTGTTGGTTTTATCCCTGCCATGAGAATGGGTGGCACTATTGCTACATCAGATAAAATTCTGTCCGTGCCAGGCAATTGATAATCACCTTGTCCCGAATCCATGACCTCTTCGACTCATTTTCTTTTCGCTGAATTGACAGCTCTTATCGATATCTCCGAATCCACCTTCGTCTTTCCTGCTCTCCTCGGTATCACTTTGCTGCCTAATTTCATCTTCATCTCGTTGAAATTTATTTAAAACAGCCAGATAAAAAGATTTTGATCCTAAAACTAATTAAAATCAATCGGTCTCTAAAACTTTGGAATTCGGCCTAAGATTGGACAGTCCAAACTTTGGATCTATTCCTAAGATCGTCATTCAGTTGTTCATGGTCACTAACTCATTCTTACCCAGG